TTAAAAAGTCTTTTAATGAGAAAGGAAAAACTACATTATGTGGCTCAAATATTTTGATTAGAATTGTTATAATCATTTAATGGGTCTAAGAAAAACCACACAGCAAAAAATCAGAAACTTTTAATGTAAATCTATATACTTAAGATACTTATGCTTCTGTTTAGAAAGCTCCTTGAAGAACACTATTATTCACCATTAGCTTTAGGAAATCTTTTAGAGGAAGAGGGAAAACAGAATAGGAGACCTTCACACATCCACACAATGTAATGACCTGAATGAATTAAAACCTACAAAATCTATTAAATTAATAGCATATAAAAATGACAATCTTTTAAGGAATTTATAGGTAAATATCTAAAGATTCAGAGTCTTTGTGAATAATTCTCCAAGATTATGAAATAGTAATAGCTTCTTCACTACTATCTGGTCAGAGAGTGAAGACTGAAACTAGTCTGTACTTTGCCCTGGCCTGAGAGCTTACCCATCACACAGGAGTACTGTTCTATTTCCTCAACATTGTGCCACACAACCAGCCATAAGAAATCAGTTAAAAAAATTGTTAAATAACTTTCAACATGGTATAGGCTATGCACCATACTCTAAACATCTGACAGAAATGAAGAATCAGATGCTGGAAGCTATTAATACCACCTCAGCCACTTGAACAACATCCATGTAGGGAAGAATGAGAGAAAGCAGAAAGGGGCAGGTTTGGGCCAAACAATTGCTGGTGTGTTGTGCACAGATGAGGCTACTACACACAGAACAAAATGACACATTCATGTGACTGCCCAATTTGACTAGTTAGCACTAAGATGCCAGTTTCAGGCACATGCTTAGTAGTGAGAAGGTACAAGCAGTGGACAACACAATATAGGTATAGCAAGAATGAGCAGACAAGGCAAATATACAGGACTGAAAGAATCTGAGACATACCTTGGTATCTAGACACATTCACACATGGAGTAAATACACTGACATTTTATTTTTCTGTAAAGGATAGAGTGCACATATTTACATGTAAACACAAATAGTGTGAGATTAGTTTTGGATCAAACAGTCAATGTAAAATGACTGCTAATTAAAGGATGTGATGGGTTTACTAGAAGAGCACTATGTTGATGAACCCATGGAATTAGTTCTGGGCAGGTATATATCCAGAACTCACATCTAACCTACTCTTTCAGAATCACTGGAGTCACGGAAAAGACCTGTTAAAATAAGCTTGTCTGATTAGTCAAGTTGAAGAATCACTATGCTAATACCTAAGCATTTCTTTGCTCCTTTGAGAATGAAGTATCTTTGCAGAATGCTGTCAATTCCATAAAAACACAGTCCATTAAAAAAATCAACAATTTCTGCATACTTATTTCAGTTATGTTCATAACGAAGTCTATATACTATTTATGTTGTTGTGTACCATCAAATTGGAACTGACCCATAGCTGACAGTCCAGTGAGTTTTCAGAGGCAGTTAATCACATCTGGTGGATTAGAACTGCATGCCTTCAGGATTGCAGTACAGCTTCTTGTTACTAGGCCACCAATGCTATTTCAGTTATGATTATAACCAAGTCTATCTACTATTTATAGCATATATTTTTATCTTTACTGATTCTATATATAGTTAGTATTATCTGTAGCAAGTGATTCTATAGTTGTATTAAGATCCGGTGTGAAAACAGCATATACAAACTTTTTTAAGTAAACAAGTATAAAATTAAGGAAAAAAAAAAAAGAGCAGAAAGCCACAGGTGAGAGGGCAATTAAATGGACAGAGAAAGGGACATGGGTGACTTCTGTTTGCTTCCTATTTCCTAAGAATGGACTCTTTACATATAACCGCCCGCTTAAAAAAAAACCCCAAAAACCCAAACCCCAACCAAATCATGATTATTTGGAACCTTTAAGATCTTGGGGGGTGGGGAACCCCTCACTGAAGTCTTTTTTAACAGTAATATTATTATGTCTGATTTCAGGCCATTTCTGCTGTCAGCTTCACATAGTACAGCTGGGCCTGTGGACATTTGAGGGAACAAACATAATGTAAGGAAAAACAATACTTTTTAAATAAAATTGTTATTTTCTCTTTAAAAAATGTAGATGTAGAGTCCAATTTTCTACTGTTTTAGGAAACTAGCAAATGTGCAAATAAAGAAAAGGTCTTTCTTAATACCCACAGTGATACTCAATACAATCAACATAAAACACATATATTTATTATCTTAAAATTATGAATTTATTATCTTAGTGGCAAATTCATTCACAGGATGTTAATTATTAAGATAATTAGCAATTTTAAAGGCATAGAAAATGAAAAAGAGACAATACAATCTTTTCTTTGGCTGATTCTAAAATATTCCCTGTGGATCATTAATAAATAAAAATTCAATATACCTAAATACTTATAGATTGAGATTGTGAGGATGGGAAAGGATATGGCCTGGTTCCTACCTGCCGTTTATAGGGTAGTCGAGTCATACTCAACTCGACTGCACCTAACACCAACAACACTAATTTATAAATGACACAATGCAGTTAGAAAATGCTCTTTCTGTTCATGAGAGCTAGAATAATATGCTCACTTGTCTTGAGATACAAGTAGGTATACTGTAGAAATGCTGAATAAACATGATATAAAATGTATAGCCCTTATACAGCAATATGTCTTTAAAAGTACTTTGCTGTTATCTTAATTCTTTCAAGATAAAGTTATTTCCTGTTTTGAATTTGTTGAAACTACATGTTTTCAACAATGGAAGATATTTTAAAAATTAAAACTACGCTTTTTTTTTCTTCTTCAAGAAATACATATTTTGGTATAACTGGTGGGCAAAGTATGTCCCAAAGGGTCTCTGGTGCTGAGACTGGTGGGACAGCTCTCACCAGCAGTATGACCTAAACAGAAGGAGACGGGCCCAATAATCTCCAAAGGCCGAATATGTAGGTGATATTTTATGTCACAGACATCATAAATGGGCTATGTTTCTAGGCCTAACAGTACTATGTAAATAAAAACTGAAGTTTATAAATTTTTGATCCATAGCTACAATTTTACTTGAATGCAACAAAAAAGAGATCCCATTCTATAATAATAAAAATCCACATTACTAAATGCTACTGAAAAAAAAAGCTATTTACTTGTCAGTTTTCCCAGTCTGGGCAAGGTAATGCCTCCTCTTCATCTTCTGACTCAGGTGATGCTTCTTTAATTCTTCGAAGAGCTTCATGGATGCTTCTTGTTAAAGGGTCTGTGTCAGGCAGAAGTGTGAATGATTCTCTCAAGACTTCCTTCTGCACCTTCTTCAATTTTACCCCTTTTCTTATTTGTGCCAAGATATTATTACTATCATCTTCATCAGGAAAAGGAGGCAGAGTTCGCTGTTCAACTTTTTTCAGATGAAAACTACCACGTTTTAAGGAAGCTAGCACCTCATCCATCGGTGAACTCACTATGTGAATGAAAATAAGAACCAATTAGGATTGTACTTACAGTCTAACTGTAGAACCCTTAGTGTTTCAGACTATGATAGCCCAGGATAAGCAAAATGCCATCCACAAAAAGGATCATGACATATGTGTCAGAGTACAGGAGTCCGAAGACTTAACATTCCATGCCCCGCACTGAGATATTCCTGTCATTTCTAACCATTAGGTGAATAAGTAAACTGGGACACTTTCCGTTCCTTACTGAGATAGATAAATAGATCAGGTAAATGGACTTAATATTCAAATAGGAAAATCAGAAATAAAAACATGAATTTTTTAAAAAAACTATGACTTTCTAAAATCAAAGAATAGCTTTTCATTTATTCATTGATATACATTTTTTTCCTGTCTCCTCCTCCTGCAATTAATTTTGTAACGTAAATCTTGTTCCAGGTTGCTAATTGCCATTCACATAATGCCTTATCATCCATTCTTTTCAGATAGCCCTTGACCTTCACCTAATGAACACTGCACTTGATGCTATCCATTTTTTCCTTGTTTTCCACTGACATCCATTAATTTTTTTAAAAATAGCTTTATTTTTTATTTTTAAAATTTTTATTAATTTTAATGAAAGTTTACAGAGACTTAGGGTTTCCAGTCATTCACTGCTGCAGCATCCATATTTTTTTTATAGCAGCATTTTTAGCCCTTTTGTGACTGAGAGTCTTCCCTCAGCGCCTTCCAGACTCATTTACATTGTGTACAGTTTTACAAATTCATTGTTTTTTTAATGCTGTGTAATACTCCATTTTGTGAACTTACCAGTTTTTTTAATATATTCACTTGTTGATGGTAATAGCACTTGGGCAGATTCCATGTCTTCACTATTGTGAATAACATTAATAGTCAACAATGAATGAATATTTTTTTACTTTTATTTTTTGTGTGTGTGCCATCAAACTGGATCTGACTGGTACAGGAGGAGATTGCATCTCCTTCTCCAGCATAGCATCTGGTGGATTCGAACTGCGTACCTCTGGGATTACAGTGCAGCTTCTTGCCACTAGGCCACCAGGGCTCCCTGAATTTTTTTGAGAAAATCAAACTGGGAGTGAGAGTACGGAGGAACATGTACAACAATGAATGAATGAATGAAAATCCAAATTTTCCGTAAACTTTTGTTAAAAATCACAATTAAAACTTATTAAAAAACAGTACAATAATAAACATGGATATGTGCATTACAATGGTTTCTGTCACAGCTCTGGTTTCTTTAGGATATATTCGTAATAGAGGGATAACTGGGTCAAATGGTATGTCTATTCCAAACTTCTTCAGGAAGTGTACAATTGCCTTCCACAGTGGCTGTACCATTTTACATTCATGGGTATGACTCTTAAAGGATTTCCATTACCAGTCTCATCTCCAAATTTAGTGGCAGGGTCTCACAATGGATTTCTAAAAATGACATTTTTACTTCATTTTGGAGATCATACTCTTTTTAAAATTTTTTTTTTTTTACATTTGAGTATGTCATTTTCTCCCTATTCAAACAGAAAGACCTTCAAAACATTCCTTTCCTCCTCCATTTTATTGGTTTGCATAAAATTATTCATATACATTGTGTTTACTTCTTATATGTACATAGTTTAATACAATCTTTCATATACATTTTACTTTATATAATTACTAGTTATCTACATATATTATCATACCACCTTTTCAAGTTGACACTGAATCTTTCATATTCCTTTACCTCTTTCCCAGCCCGCTAGCCTCTTCTACTAACCTCGTGATTTTCTCCCTTTCTCTATTAATTGGGGGAACAAAGCTATATTGAGTCATATCTCACATATAGTAAATGGCACATATTATACCTTATTATTAGCCTCTTTATATAAGGAATTAAAACTCACTAGTGTGAGTCAACTTCTAATCACAGCAACCACACAAGATTTTGATTCACAGCAACTATATAGGATGGAACCAAACTGGCCTGCTGGAGATCATTATGGAAGCCACATCTTTCTCTTGCAGAGTGGATTGGCTGGGGGTTCTGAACTGCTTACTGTTAGTTACCAGCCAAGATCTTAAACCAATGCATCACCCGTGGATACAAAGAGCAAGGTAAGTTGTCTGTAAACCAGTGACCAAGAGTTACACGTTCTTACCATGGTCTTTACAGTAGGACAGTCTGGCTAGACGAATTCCCCTTTCTTAAATTTTCCAGCTCTAAAATCACAATTTATTTTTTCTGATCAAAAAAGTCATCACTACACATTACCAAATAAATCAAGTATCACTTAGAGGACACTTTTGACAAAAAGTCTGACAACAGCTCAAGAAAGTACCTAGTCTTAATTTTTTTTTTTTTTTAAATAAATCTTTTTGTTGTTGTTGTGTACTGCTGAAATGGATCCAACTGGCACAGAGGGAGATTGCCCCCTCCTTCCCCAGCAGAGCATCTGGTGAATTCGAACCATGTAGCTTTAGGATTGCAGCACTGCTTCTTGCCACTAGGCCACCAGAGCTTCCAAGTAACTGTTCTTAATGTTTGTTGATACAAGTTGGTAAGAATTCTCTACTAAGTGTTTGAAAAAGCATCTACTAACAAATAAAGCTAAAAAGATGTTTTAAGTCCATAAGGTCCTATAAAACACAAATTCCTGATTATAATTCACTTTACTCAACAAATAAGTATGAAAATAAATATCTTTTAAACTTACCTCTCCTCCTTTGCAAACCTTCAGCGGTCTTTTTGAGCTTCTTTCTGGCGCTGACCAGCTGGCTGCTGTCAAAGAGGTGTGCTGAGGGTGCACTTGCAGATTTCGGGATCCTCTTCTCATTCCCCTCCACTCGAGGCAGACCTTTCTCCTCTGTCTCTGGGACACTGTCTTTAAGAACAGGCAAAGGTGGTGGTGGTGGTGGAGGAGGAGGAAGGGGCGGAGGAGGAGGTGGTGTTGGGGGGTGAGGTGGAGGAAGAGTATCTATGATCAGAGAACCTGGTTCACTGTCATTATCAGTCAAAAGTGGAAGAGATACAGTGGGAGCGGAATCAGAGGTAATACCACTAAGAGGTAATGAAGAGGCTTCAAGTTGTGCAAATGAAATATCTTCAAGTTGTACAAGGCTCTGGGGTTCTTCTCTCTGTGTCGACCCACGATTACCTCTTCCATCCTCCATCTCTTCAGTTTTCTTCGCTACCTGTAGTGTTCCTGGTAGAGATTTACACTGATCCTCGCAGGGCACCGGACTTGCTGTGCTTTTTCTTCTTGAATGAGCCAGTCTTAGTCTGGTTGATTTAAGTATGACTTGTCCAGAGTACCTCTAGAAAATTAATTAAAATTAGCAAACCTTTTATTATAAAATCCTGCATTAAGGCCTTTTCTCTTATCTAATTGAAAAGTAAACGGCTCAAAATGACCATGTGTGAAGAAAAGTATTTAATGAATAAAATTACTAATACACATGGAAAATCAGAAAGCAATGTGATACACAAATTTGAAACTATGCCAAACATAGCTTTCTGCATAGCAAGAACACAAGAAACAAGATTAAAGATAAAAAAATTCAAATTTCCCCCATATTAATAAAGCTGACAACAAAATATACATTTATGATAAAGAAAATATGAAGACTTTTCAGATATTATTTAGTTATAAAACATAGCTTTAAACATACTTTATAGAAATATTTAACCAATTCAACGTAGGCCTTGAACCCTATTTGTTTTCATCATCTTTTTCAATATTTATTCTAACACTAAGATTTGATCATAACTTATTTCATTTAAAAGGTAAAAAAATAGTGCAATGAAAACGAGGCTCTGCCCATTTTAATAACTAGAACAGTATGGCTGAAGCACAGTTCCAAGGAGATGCCTGGCTTAGTCTGGAAACAAACATTACCCTTGGAGGAAAGTAGAAGCATTTTTCATGTTTCCACCCTCTTAATTTTGTGACTGAATTTACCCTTGTATTACTACCAAAGATCTATGCTTGTGAAATAGCCAGTTGATACTTCAGCTGGTTAGTTTGCTGTGAATTTATTCTTTTTACTAAACTTGCAAGGAGTCTAGGATTTCCAGAGGCCATAATTTTACACTTATACTGCTGAAGCAGAACTAAAGATAATAAGAATAATAATTATGAAAATACAAGGAAAGGCTCCTTAGTATACAGTCAAAATGAGACAAAACAATGACTGCCATGTGTGTTAATATTTTCCAAACAGTAATTTCCAAAGGCAAATAAGGGTTCCTAGTACAATAAAATCCTTAGGGACTCCTCTCTACTGTTCTCTATTTTTTTAAATTAGTTCTCCTCCGTATTTTTCTCTCATTCTATTGTCCCCCCTTGATTCCACCAAAATGGTTCTTCTGGTCTCAAGATAGATAAGGTTTTTGGCTTGTCTTATAGACTAATTTTCAATACATCTTTTACCACAATGCTAAGTAGTACTAGACAAATGTAGAGTGTTTGCAGCATATCAAGGGAACTGGATAGCTTGCCAGTAACATAAATAAGCTAAGCTGCACCTCATAAGTGAGGTCATGCAAATAAAGTACATAGGGCATTGGTCAGTTTTTGCCATTCGAGGCTGAGCAGGCAGGCACACAGGTAGGAAATGGGCATCTTAATACCATTAAAAAAGAAGCAGCAGAGGCCAGCACTTCCTTTGGTCTAGAGATAATTGCATAGAAACAGAGAAAGACTGTCGACAGTTACTCAGACAGAGGCAGCAGCAGCAGCAATGGCAACAGAAGGAAAGGTGGCAGACCACCAGAGACTGGTAAGAGACACAGCGCAGCTTGATGGAGCAAGAGTCAAGTACCTTGGCAAAAGCTTCCAGGCAGGGTTGGGAGAGGAGGCATATAGAGCAGAACTAAAAGAGCTTTGTAAGCCTGCTTGACCCTGTGATGTCTCAAGGGATCAAGAAGAAGGCTTGCCCTGGAAAAGTGCCTTAGAAGTTGATTAAAGAATTGTGCCCTAAGATTTTCAACCTAAATTATAACCTTGTTACATTCCTACTAAACTGCAGAACAGTGAGTACTGTCTGTGGGTTCTGTGTGGCACTGTTTCTGGGAGGGAGAAAGATGGGCAATCTCCTTCTCATGCAATTTACAGCCACCGAAAACCCACTAGGTCAGTTATGCACCAGCACCAAATCAACAGTAATGAACAGTAACAGAACAGGGAGAGGTGTGGGAAATGGTCAGTGACAAAAACTGATACCAAGTTCAGGAGCAAGAATACACTCAAGGGTTCTTCAACGTGTTAATCTTGTATCCTACAATGTCAATAAATCAGTAAATGAATTTTTCTTGTGAAATCCTTAGGGTCTTTTCTGTATTGGATCATATTACCTGCAAATACATTTTTACTTCTTCTCTTGGATCGATGCTGGGTTATTTTTATTTTATTAATTTTAATAGACATTTACAGAGGGTTTGGATTTCCATTCATTCATTGCCGCACTTTTCTCCCTGCCCACCCCTCCCCACCAGTTCGCTCCCCTCTCCGAAAAGGAAAAAAAAATTCCTTCATTAGTATACAAT